CTTACCCAAAATAAGCAGATGGAGAAATGTATGTGAAAACATCAGGCTGAAAGCCTATTCAGTCCAGATGGACACCATCCAAGCCCTAAACATGGCTTATTGCCACACAGCCGAGACTCCACAAACAGGTAGCACCGAGGTGGCTGCCCCATGAATGGCTGAGACGCAGGAGAGCCCCGAAGGTTCAAACCAGAAAGAGCCAGAGCAGGTGGCTTTGTATGCAGAGGCTGCGCAGTTGGTCCCGGGAGGAAGGAAGAACCACCGGCTGCGCTGCCCGTGCTCCCTGCCAGAATCACAGACTCAGGGAGCCAGGGTGGGAAGAAACCTCTGACTATATTCTGTTCCAATTGTACGATATTTCCCATATATACAAAAGTGCGTGAAATAAAATCCATTTAATTCTCACCCAATAAGTTAGGAACTATTATTACCTCACTTGACAGGGAAACTGAGGCACGGACTATCTCGGATCACACACATAGGAAATGGTAGAGCAGGGATTTGAACCCAAAGTCAGGATCCAGAGTCCAGGTGTGCTCATGGTTGCTTAGCTCCAAGGTGGTCACTATCAGTTTCTTCCCACCCAGGATGTGCACACGCACCAGCCACTCCCTCCCCACGAAGAAGTTCCCCGATCTTGAACCTGAGCTGGCCTTGGTGACCTGAGCTGGTGCATGTGACTCTCTGGGACTTCTGACGCTACGTCCTGCAGCTTCTGCCCAGACTCCTGGAAAGGCACCCTCGGGGCACCAGGAGCCACGTCGCACGTCCAGCTTCCCTGGGACAGCCAGGCAGCAGGGCTCAGTCAGCAGTTCCAGCTGGGCCCGGTCCTCCAGCATCACCACCACAGCACCAGACGTGGAGCGAGGATTCTGGAACCTTCCAGCCCGGGGGAGATACCAGCCCTATACCCCCAAATCACTGCTGTCCAGGCCACAAAGAACAAAAGAGTTACCCAGCCCAAATCTCTGGCCCACATATCTCCTCACTTGTGTTCAGTGGCGGCCACTGACCCCACTTCGGGATGGCCGTCCTGCTGGCCACCTGGCCAGCCTCTCCCTCTGCCCTCCATGCGAGCAGCTGCTCCGTGGGGAGGCCTCTCCCACTTCCCACCACCTCCACCACGCCCACACGGACAGAGCCTCCCCCTCAGGTGGCACCCAGTCCAGACCCTCCCTGTGGTCAGGAGCACGCAATCCCACGATGGCTGGTTGCCGACTCTGCTTCCCGTCCAGGGCAGGGACTCCACCCCCGCCCCTCAGCGGAGTCTAGCTCCCCAGATGACAGTAAATATGGGCTGAACACACGAAACAGCTCCGTCACAACAGGGTCCAAAGAGAAGCCCTGACGTGCCTGATGATGTTTTACAGCTCTAAACAAAGTCAACACGTGACTCTGGACCAGGGTTTCTCAACTTTGGCACCACTGATATTTTGTACCGAAAATCAATTACCTGTGATGGGTGGGGCCTCTGGGCAGCATAAGATGGTTAGCAGCATCCCTGGCTCTGACCTACTCACTAGATGCCAGGAGCGGCCTCCCCCCAGTGACCACAAGTAAAAATGTCTACAGGCATTGTCAAATGTCCCTGGACAGGGCAGGGGAGGATCACCTGGATGAGAAACACTCACCGCTCCAGAGAGTGGCATCTGTGTATGTGCCCACCTACATCCAGGCCCCCACGGAGGACATGGTACCTGCCGGAAGTCACGTGCCACTTACCAAGTACTCCAGAGCCACACGCGTGCTCCCGCATGCTCGCCTGCTCCTTGCAGACCTCAGAGTAACCTTCAGTTCTTGCTACTAAGAGCCTCGAGGGAACTCAACAGCTGGGGGTTCCCCTAAGGACATCACACTGACAATGGGAGGCTGAGAACATGGCCCTAAAAGTCCCTGCCCAGGGCCCGGAGGCCTGTCCTCTCAAAGTGGTCAGTGAAGCACCGCTTCTAAGCTCTTTACCCCTGAACTGGCTTTTTCTGTCTCTTGACAACCACCACCAACACAGCCGTCTCACACAGGACGGCCAGCACACGCTCGAAAACGCAAATGCACTCACACCATCCCTCTCTGGACCCCCTACTGTGGATCCCCACTGTTCACCAAAGTCCAAACACCTAAGCAAGACGCCGTCACCCTGGAAAGCAGGGTGCCACTCGTTGGCGAAAGTAACAGCAGCAGTGCCCGCGGGTTGAATGCCTGTCCCGCGCTACATGCTGTGCTGAACCCCTCTGACGTGCTCCCTCCTTTGTTCACTCCCAACTACAGCTCTGCAGAGTGGACAGCAACAGTATCCCCGTTCTACAGATCAGAGAATTAAATCTTAGAAAACGATGCAACTTGCCCACGGTCACACAGCACAGCTCATCAAGTGGTGCTGGAAATCAAGCCCCGCACTTCTGTACTTAATGCCATGATGCAGGCTCCACGAGGGTGTGAATCTAACTTAACTGCTGCTGTGACTCCAGTACCTGGAACAGTGCCTGGCAGAGCAGGCACTCGAGGATGGAAGGGTAGAAGGGTGGGGGAGGGAAGGATGGGTGAGTGAACGGGAGGGAGGCTGCAGAACAGAGCATCTCAAACCTGGCTGATTACCAGGATCACTGGGACGCCTATTAACCACAGTTCTCAGTCCCGACCAACCTAGTGAATGACAGTCATCCTGGGCCACTCCAGGGAGAAGGAAGAATTGCTTTTATTAATTGAGGTGGGAGAACTACAGAGCATGGATCTCAGAAGCCAAAATCCTGTCTGGTGCCCCTCAGAATGAGCTTCAGGAGAAGGTTCCAGCAGCCTGTACTTGTAATAGCCCCTCAGGTGTTCCCTACAGTCAGCTAGGCTTGGGGCCAGCAGCTCAGAAGAGAAAGGACCAGTCCACTCTCACGCAGCACACCTGTATTTACGGTCAGCGCCCCTGCAGGCCCCACCCCGTCCCAGCTGCAACAGGTCTGAGTCAGCTGGGAGGTTGAGTGTGGCCAAAGCAAACAAAACTGGGAGGAAAGTTGGCTGCCTCCACGCGTTTTCAAAGCAGGGCTCCTGGCCCTGGGCCACCTGAGGCCTCCTTGTCTCGAAGCCAGGAGCAACCTTTTGGAAAGCTATGTGACCTCACTCACGATAAGAGAAATCAAATAAAGAATTACGCCAAGCTACCTGAGTCTACCTGTGAGTGGCCACATCCAGAACGTCATCGTGTAGACAAAGGTGTGGGGAACAGGCACTCTCACACCTCATGGGCTTTTCTGGAGTGTTGTCAAGCTGCCAAAGTTAAAGTGCCCCTTAACTCAGAAACCACACTTATAGGAAGCTGTCCTTTGGATGTACCCATATGTGTAGATACGTGGACAACCCTCACGAACTGCTGGTGGGGATGCAAAACAGTGCAGCCCCTTGGAAAACAGCCTGGCAGGTCCCAGAACGCTCGAACATGGAGCTGCCACGTGACCCAGCAGTTACACTCCTGGGCACAGGCCCACAAGCAACAAACTCACATCCACACAAACACCAGTACACTGATGTTCACAGCAGCACTGTTCCTAATCGCCCGAAAGTGGCATTCACCCAAGCGTCCATCAGTGACTGGATGGGTAAAGAAACGGTGGGACATCCGTGCAGTGGACTATTACTCGGCCATGAAAAGGGAGGAGGCACTGACACATGCCGCCGCATGGACGAACCTTGAAAACAGTGTGTCGACTAGAAGAAGCCAGGTGCAAAGGCCATGACTCTACTTAAAGGAAAGGTCCAGAGCAGGGAAATCCAGAGAGGCAGAGAGCAGATGAGCAGCTGCTCAGGCAGAGGAGGAGGATGGGGAACCGAGGGGGATGGCAAAGGGTCCAGGGTTTCTTTGTGAGGTGATGACGATGTTCTAAAAGGGACTGTGGTTGGGGGGTGGGGGGGCGGGGAGGGCTCAGATCTGTGACTATACTAAAAACCACTCAACTGTTCCTTGTAAATGGCTGCATTGCATGGTGTGTGAATTATACAGAAGGAAGAGGAGGAGAAGAGGAAGAAGAACGTAAGTATAGTTGCTGCCGCTAATAGCAAAAAACAGTTCGAATGTCCCTCTCTAGGGGCTAAACTACTGCACTGCAGCAGAACCCCGTGTGGCCGTGGAAGGAGGCAGAGCAACGTGCTGGTAACAAACCACCTCCAAAATAATCACTAAATTTAAAGAAGAATCAAGGTGCAGAAGTGTATGTAGGAGGTACCCATCTGTGTAAAAAAAAAAAAACACGACACACACATTAAACAAGCACGGAGTAATTCCAGAAGACAAAAAAAAACTTGATAATGAGCTTGCCTGTGGAGTGCAGGGTGAGAGCTGAGAGAGACATTTATGAATTTTTTTGGTTTTCCCCCAAGTGTACATTTTAGTTTTTCAATTAAAAAGCAGTCAATAAAAATGCAAATTAAAGCAAGTCCCTACAACTGAAAATTGCTTGAGTCTCCTCACTTCATTAAAAACCAGTCTTAGAGACTTTAGGAAGTGAGCCACTCGCCCAACCTCCGGCGGGTGGGGAAGGGCCCGCACTGCATCCGAAAGCTACAGGACGTGCACTGTCCACACGAGCTAAGGTAAAGGCCTCTCACTCTGCCGTGTGCAGGAAAGTGAAACGGGCATTTACCTGGCCACTGAGCTGGGAGCGTCCGCAAACTCTGGCCTGTCCGCCCTTACGAGGGCAGGCGGCTTGACCATCAGCAGGAATCAAACGCCCGGCTGCGGCCAGCCTGCGTGCACCCCGACCAGCCCAGGCGAGCTGTCTGAGTGTCGGTTCCAAGTCGGCCCACACGGGCCTCTGTCACTTTGAAGGAACTGACTGAGCTTCCCCCACCTGCTCCAAACCCCATCAGAGACCCAGACAAAGTGGCCATGCTTCCATTTTTAGAGGAGAAGAAGGAACTGAACCAACAACTGCAGTGACAAGTCAAGGTAGGAAGGTGAGGAGATGCACGGTCCGGACTCGGACGACAGGCTACTCCGCCCCCGCCCAGCAGGTACTCACAGAAACCTTCGATCTTGTCGGCCGTCTTACTCCAGGCCACCTGCCGCGTCTCCATGATCACCTGGACGGTCCTGCGCTCCGGGGTGGACTTGCGGAAGCTGAACACGGTCATCACTGTGCCCAGCTCCAGGGCTCTCTTGATCTGACTCTTCTCATACTCCGGAAGGCCGTCCACATTGACCATGGTGGTCATGGTCGGCCTCTCCAGGGAGGAGGAGGAGCGAGGGAACAAGGAGGCTGGGAGGACAGAAGAAAGGAATGAATTGGTTTTAGTTGACTAAGGGGGATTTAGTTAACAGGGCTTAGACTTCAAGAGCCAAAATCCCGTCTCACGACCAGCAGAGTGAGTTTTAGGAGAAGGTTCTAGTGGCAGCAAACTGCTGACCACTCAGAGCCCACACAGAGGTTTAAACAGAAGTGGAGGTGTGGGAAAAGACTCCTGACCTCAATGACCCAACCGTTATCCAGGCTTTGAATACGCAAATCACCCCAACCTGGCTGCGAGCTCCTCCCTCCCCACATGCTTTTATGCTGCAGAATATTTGAATAGCCAAAGCAGCCCACACCTGCTCCCAGCCCCCACCCGCAACACCAGCATCCCCTTCTACCCTGCCCAGAAATACATAACCATCCCTTTACTTCCTTAATGACACTGGGACCAGAGGATAACAATTTTTTAAAAAATACTCCAGAATGTGTCCATGGAGACCTCTGCATGGACATGGGGCCAAAGGGACAGAAAACCTCAGGGCCCAGCAGCCTCAGGCTGAAATCCCAGGTAGGTTTCTGCTGCCTGTGCGTCCCCGGGTGGGCAGTGTGGCCTCTGCAAGCCTCGGTGTCACCCTTTCTAAAACGGGGGTGTCGGACAGTTAGAAAGCTTAGAATGAGATGTCACCAGCAAAGCACCTGGCATGCTGCTCGGCATCCAGCAGGTGACCTTGATTGCCCCTTGTCCCCACACACAACTGATGTCTATCAGAGACATGCTGGGGACCCGAATCTAAGAGCGGCCTTGTCTGGCCTCTCTCACAACCACACACCAGCCAGCGGCAAATCCAGGACCCAGCCCTCTCGCCCCTTCATGGGTTCCTCCTAGGAGCCCGTACTTGGAGCATTCGAAGCACCCTCTCACTGGCCTCCCTGCTTCAGCCTGCCTCCCACGGACAGCTCACAGACCAGTAGCCGGAAGGTGCTTTTAGAGCACAAGTGAAATCACGTCACTCCTCTGTTCAACCCCTGCAGTCACTCCCTGAGCCCTCGCTCTGCACCCTCCAACCTAATTCTGCCTCCCAAATGTCTAAAGACACACTACCTGCCACTCGAAGGGGACCTGAAGTGCAGGCTGGTTAGCTGCAGGCCCTTCACCACAGGGGCAAACACAAGGCCTGCAGGCCGGATGTGGCCCTCCACCTTGTTTCATCCCGCCCGGCACCTTGTTTCTACCCAGCGGCAGCGCTAAGCTCTCACTGAACTGTTAAGGAGCAGTTACATGTATACAGTCCTAAAATTACATTCGGCCCTTTGAAGGCAACCGTGAGGCTGATGTGGCCCCTGTGAAAATGAGGTTGACACCCCTGCCCTACACCAAGTCCCTTAAGCCCCCTGGGCCTCAGTTCCACACTTGTAAAGGGGAAAATTGATCACAAGAACCAAAGGTTCTTATGAGAATTAAACCCAATTTGTATCTTAGGTCCTTAAAACAATGACGCAAAGTCAGTGCTCCTGGGATTTAGTTATTGCTAAACGTACTGTTACCCGTTGTTCCGTGTACCTTCCTTATTGTCCCCCGTCTCCAAACCCCTTTAGAAGCCCACAGTTGTCACTCTGCAGAGAGGCCTGTGGTCAGCCGGGCTTCTGGGCCTCCACGCTGGCTCTGGCTCCCCCAGAGCCTCCAGCCAAGATGCTCAAACTTGGGGCCTCAACTCCCTCACCTATAAAATGGGGATAACAACACCACCCGAAAGAGTGCTGGAAGGACTGAGTTACAATGTGTACACAGCCCCCAGAATTTAGCAAGGCCTCAGATATTAATCAGCCAGGCAGTCAACACCTTCATCGAGTGTCAGCTCTACACCAGGCCCTGGGCTGGGGATGAGCAGGTAAATGAGGGGGAATGGAGAGAGACCCAGGCCTAAGCTCGCCCCTCCCTCCCACAGCCAAAGACACCACTGCAGGTGTGCTGGGAGCCAGAGACAAATACTGGGTTGGCCAAAAAGTCCATTATGTTTTTTCCATAAAAGACACGCTTTTCTTGTTCACTAATAAATTCATTGATTTGGATATTTTGAGTATGCCGGCTATCTCCTGCTATTGGCTTCTAGCAGGCAGAGGCCAGGGGTGCTGCTAAACATCTTCCAATGCACAAGACAGCCCCAGGGCAAAGAATTATTTGGCCAAAAGGTCAATAGTACCAACAAACTTCGCAAACCACTTTTGACACATTTGATCAGTCACAGCACCTTCTCCATACACTGCACAAATCTTTTTTTTTATGTTTCAGCTGCATTTTTACCTTTCTCAGAATAATAGAGCATAATATGCTGAAAATGTTGCATATCTTCTTCCATCTTCAATATTAAAGTGGCTGTACAAAATTCACCAGTTTTGATGTTTTTCTAAATGCGCACTGATATGAGAGCTGTCATAAGTCAATCTAACAAAACTGTTTCAAATTGAATTAAATACAACCTAGCACAACTAGAGCCATCATACAGAAAAAACTGTAATGGACTTTTTGGCCAACCCAGTAAGACCATGAACTACACCTGTCTCTGTCCATCCATACCTATCAGTCAGCATGAGGACTCTAACGCAGAGAGATCCACACAGCAGCAGGGACGCTGGGGAGGGTGTGCCAAGGCAGCAGCGGGAAGGGTCCCCCTAGTTTAGTCTGGGGGGAGGCCGGGAGTTTAGAGGGCTCAAAGAAAGCCTCTGGGGGGAGAGGGCATCTGAATCCAAACTTTAAAAAAAAAAAAAAAGAATGAAGCAGGAGGGAACCGTGTTCGAGGCAGAGGAATGGGCTTAATGAAGCAGAGGCCCTGCTCCCAGACTAAGAAGGTGAACCTCCTGCCTCTCCACCTCCTGCCCCAGGTCAAGGCGGGAACAAGGTGCCCTCGGCCAGCCTCACCCAGTCACTGCTTGTTGGCCCTCCCCGGGTGCCAGCATCTGCGCTATACCTGGTGCATCTCACTGACCTCAAGGAGAAATACAGGAAACAGGTCCAAAGGGATGAAATGATGTCACCAAGGTCGTGCGGACAAGTGGTGGCACCACGACTGGAACCCTGGTCTGGATCCCACCCCCCTGCTCTTTCGGCACCTGCCTCCTGAAATTCAGAATCCCGTGGAAGGATGTGGCCAGATAGTAACTAATCTGGCAGCCCCTGTCCCTCTCTAGAGAGAGGTTAAAGGACCTGTCCAAGGCCACACGGCTGCAAAGTGGCAGAACTTTGAACCTGGTGCCAGCTCTGTGGCTCCCTGTCAGGCCGACCCTGGAGTTCCCCACTCCCAGGGCTCAAGGTCAATGTGCAGGAGGGCAGAAAGAGGAAACACACGCCCTGTCACAACACCTCCACCTTTGATTAAACGTGCCAGCAGGGAGGCACTGGGCTCCCAACTCTGGCTCTGGGAGTCTTGAACTTGACTGTCCCTGGATTCTGATAAATTCCTGCTTAGAAGCCCTGCCGCGAGGATTGGCTCGACCATAAACATCAGGTATCTCCCACTCCCTCTGGCCAAGAACTGGAAAGACATCCTCATGGCCACAAGATCGTTGGAAACAACCACCAAAATCCAGCCTGCTCCTGACCCAGGCTTCCACCGTGGGATGTTCAGCAACCCAGGGGAGGGCTCCAGCCATCAGAGGCAATTTCCATTTTGCTTCTGAAAAATGAAGGAAGGAAGGAAAGAAGGAAAAGGAAAGAATAGCCTTGAAATCCCTTTTTTGTTCCTGTTCCTCACCTTCCCTGGGTAACTTTGTAAAATAACTTATGATATAAATGTAAACGTGGCTGAGGTTCAGTATGAGGTTTCACCATTGCTACTTCTCATGCCCTTCTCTTTGAAACAAACTTCTAGAACTCGAGGACCCAGCACCGGGCAGCAGGGGAGTTTTCTTCTCTTCGTAGCTTCCCGCACACATTAGACCAGTACAGGACATCACACAAAATCCCACGAAATAATTCTTCATTAAAAGTCAGCAGAGTCGCATCCCTGAGAGGTGAGCCACCCTTCTGCAGCTTCGGAGCTGTCGTGGCTGCGCTCACACCCGCCCTGCCGCATCGGGATGTGTTTTCGTGCAGGACAGGCACGAAACAGGCATCAGCCACTGCAGGGAGGGGTGCGCATCGGCTCCACTTTTTTTTTTTAGGGCAACCTGCGAGCATCTAGTAAAACATGCATATGCTTTGATCCAATAATCACTTAAGTGCAGAAAGAAACACGCACAAAGATGTTCACAGGGGCATCCCGTGTAACAGAATAAGAGAAAGAATGAACAACCCAGGAAACAACTCAACTGCCCATCAGTTGGGGGAGAGAGGTGACTAGGGAAGAGTTCTGCAAATGAATAATGAAACATGCACATGAAAGAATGTACCCCAGCTATTGGAAAGAGCGAGGACGGGTTATAAGCGATTGGATCTGGAAAGACCGTGAGAGAGATGAAAAAGAGTTGCAAACCAGTTGAGTATAAATTTTTAGAAGACTGTCTGCTTATAAATCCAGGGAGAGGGGTTACTCTGGGGGCAGGAGTGGAAGAAGGGAGAAAGAACGACTTGATTATTTATTAACTGCAGTGGTGACATGGTGGATACGTTTTTCCTTTTTGTATTTTTACTGTTTTCTAAAAGAAGAACTATTTTCAAGTTTTCTTACTGGCCATTTCCCACTGACTTTTCCCATTTCCACCCAGCAAAGAGTATGTACGGGGGTGGGGGGGGGTCCCCACTGTCCCAGGTCAAGTGGTGCAGAGGGTGGGCAGTCGAGGGGATAACAGCATCGTTAGGCAAGTTCAGCATCAATGAAGCCTGCAGTGGTGTCTGAACCAATACACACGTGGCGAGCACACCTTTTTAACAGGGTAAGTGCCTGGGGCTGGGACTAGCCCTAAATTAGTAAACCCTCCCTGAAGAACTGTGGGTAAGGTTGATGGCCCCAGCCCCCATGCAGGGACCTTAACCAGAGGGTAACAAGCCAGATACCCTTTCCATAGATAAGCCCCAACTCTCAACACAGCCCTGGAGTGTATCCCAGTGTTCAGGGGAAGAAACTGACGCTCAGAGAGGTTCTTCAACAAGCCCGGGCTCACACAGCTGAAATTGAAATTCAAATTAAGTTGATAGAGAAGGCCACCTGTTTCCCTTGAGCTACGTCAGGCCCCTCACCCCACCACATTCTTCATTCAAGATTAGGGTGCCAAGAGTCCCTCCCCAGCCTCCGCGGGAACCCAGGAGCCAACCCCAGCCCAAACGGGACACATCTTTTTCTCGAATTCATCCGCTAAGGAGGGAAATGACCTCTTTGGGATTTCAAAACAGAACCAGGAAAACGCACAGAAGTGCACGCATAATCACGCACACAACTGCGGGGCCCGAACACTATCCTGGTTCTCTTGCCTTCGGGAAAGGCTGCGCCTTCGTGGTATCGCGCCGCCACCCACCCATCCTCAACCACCTGTACAATACGGGGAAGTGCCGGGGCGGCCGCGCGCAGTGGGCGAGCCCTAGGCACAGAGGTGGCCAAAAACACAGAGCCTTGAACGTCAAATCCAGCACTGGCTCCGACCCCCTCGGACCGCAAGCCACTCCGCTTCCTCTGGGTCCCCATACAAAGCCTGGGCTACCCCAAGACACCGACCCCAAGTGGCGAACCCCGGGCACATCGGGAGAGGACCCAGCCGCTGCTCCCCACCCCGGCCCGCTGAGCCCGGGCGCAGGTTCCCTCTGGACGCAGCCCACCGGGCGCCAGCTCCCCCGGGCTCAGACCCCCAGCACCCACTTTCGCTCCTATCAGGCCGGGCCACCCACCTGGCCGTGCCCCAGCCGCAGGTCCCGGCTCCGGGGTCCCGCGCGCAATCGCCCGCCGTCCGGGCTCCGGGCACTCCCTGACGCGCAAGCCCTCCGACGCCGGCGCTCCTACTTCTGCTTCTGCTGCAGCCGCGCCACGTGACTCCTCGGGTGCCGCCCCCCCGCGCCCGGGCCGGCCCCACCCACCCCGAGGCTAGCCCTGCCCCGCCCGCATCTCCGAGCACCCCCGCGCGGCGTGCCTGGCCTAAGACTCCAGCAGAAGAAACCGAGGCAAGGAGAGTGGAGGCGAAGTCATTTGCAAGTTTTGCAAAGACGAAAACTTCCACATATAGTAGCATTTATGGAGCGCCTACTGCATACACGTGTTTTACATACATTTACTATATTCCTCATAATCACCAGGAATTGGCTGTTGATGCTTCTAAGCTGAGCTGGTGTCTGACCGCCTCTTACTACCTGCCGAAAGCCACTTAAATGCTCTCAGACTCACTTTCCCCATCCGTCTGGCAGGATACAATTAGTGCCAGCCGCAAAAGTTTGTTGTAAGAAACAAATGATTGAGCTTCCCTTTTCCCAATGAGATTTTTGTTTCTGACTCACTTTATAAACTTCTAAGCATATAGATGACTTAGTCAAATGCCTAGTTATGGTAGTTCATTCACTTAACTAGCTGTGCCTATTTCAAGTCACACACTGTATGATGTAACATATTCTTCAGGAGAAATACTGCTTTACCCCCTTCTCTGATTTCATGAAACAATATTATGCAAAGCTTTCATATGTATCTCTGGTACGAGTGTCTTCCGTGTAACTGGAGCCAGCTTTAGGGTCACCGGTAGAGCTGGAAGACAGAACTAATGTTTCACTCCTGAATTGCTCGAGTTACATTTGTTAATCTATGACTACTGCTGTAACTGACAATGTTATACTTGAAGCCACAAGACGCATGCGCTGGCGTTAGACAGTCCATGGATTTATTTCTTTCATTGCTCCTGTCCCAGGGGTGTACCAGGGCTCCTCCCACCGACCACTTGCTGCGCCGTTCCTGAAGAGCTCTTTGGAAGGCGTGCTGTGACGTTAACCACTTGGAATCACAGGGCCAATTTGCCAGGAATAATGGCTAAATCCAGATTATATTTCTTTGCCTTGTTTTTTGTTTGTTTGTTTGTTTTAGAACTTCAACTTATATTTCCAACTCTCCTTTTAACACTTCTATTTGGGGACATTATATAATGTATATGATATATTAGTACAACCATGTGTGTGCATACTTTATTATTGGGTTGGCCAAAAAGTCTATTTGGTTCTTTCCATAATGTAAAAGACTCAGTTTTCATTTTCACCAATAACTTGATTGATTTGGATACTTTGAATATGTTGCCTCTCTCCTGCATAGTATAACGCGTTGCTTGCTCTCAATGTCTCCATTCAATTGCTATCAACTTCAACTGTGAAGCATTATCCAGCCAGAAATCTCCAGCACGAAGCTTCACAAACCACTTCGAACACATTCCATTAGTTACAACACCTTCTCCTTACACTGCACAAATCTTTTTTTTTTTTGCATTTCACTTGCATTTTTTACCTTTCATGATATAATAAAGCATCATATGCTGAAAATGTTGCTTATTTTCTTCCATCTTCAATATTGAAATGACTACACAAAAGTTTACCAACTTTTATGTTTTTTTAATGCACGCTGTTATGACAGCTGTCACAATACAGTCTCACAAAATTGTTTCAAATGAAGTTAAAGACAACAAAGCACTACTAGAGCCATCTTATGGAAAAAACCAAACGAACTTTTTGGTCAACCCAATACTACAAAGCCTACATGTGTAGGGAAGCATGTAGATGCTCTTGCTGGTAAATGAGACCGAATGCAAGCAGCAGCTTTGCAAACCACTGTGGGAAAGCCTTGGCTCCTCACCTCTGTTCAGACAGATGCTAATTCTGGCCAGAGTTTTCTCTGGTCCCCTGGGATCAAGCAAGAAAAGAACATGTAGGACACGCTTCCATTGAAAAAAAATGCTTTTAACCTGTGGTTGTAAGCCTACGGCATTTTTAGAGTGAAAATGTCTGTCATGCTATACAAGATACATTATCTTGTACGGTCGACGGCAGTTTACTTTTTTCATATTTTGTAATCACCTATTTGTTTGTGTGGGAGTTTTTTGCCTCATTTTTTACCCTCAGGTGAACAGCTAATGGAATCTGGCACAATGAATAATTGTTTGGGGCTCCTCACCTCCTCTTTTTCTCAAAAGTCACCTCATTGTTCAAAATAAAGTAATTGGGACCACAGCCCTGGTCTCTGGAAGGACTTGAATACAAAATGACACTTCTTTTCCAAAGCCCGATGGGGAGGGGGAGAAGTCAGCCTGTGTGTTCAGGCACAAACAGCAGAAAGCCCCAGTCGTGGGTTGGCTATGGCAGGATGTTAGCTCAGTGGGTGGGTGGTGGCAGCGGGATTTGAACTCACACGCACACAGGCCCGCTGCCCATCCCCAGCATCAACAGGAGGCATTCAGGCAGAGAGAAGTGAGTTTGTAACCAATCCTCGGAGATTCACAAGTGGGTCAGGAAGTGACCTCAAAGGGCGGAGGGGACTTTCTTTTCCTTTTTATATAATAAGAAAGAAGGGGGAGGGAGGATAACCTAAGAGAAAATAGTCTTTTAATCAGAATCGTTTCAATTTTCTATTCTGCAACCCTCGCCAGTCCTCAGAAATGCACATGTGTTTTCCCATACCCCCTTCCATCTGCTAGCAGCCATGATGCATTTGTCCATTTGCTCCTCGGGGTCTCAGTTTGTCTCTCTGCAAAATGGGTATAAAAACTGTACCTACCTCCCGGGGTGACTATACGAATTAAATGTGACAATGGAGGTAAAATAGGTACCCCAGCTCAACCATAAGGGCTGACCATCTTTAACATTGTCAGTGGGAAGGAAAAGCTCCATGGTGCTGCGGGATGATATGGACTAGAACAGGAATATCTGGGTCCAAGTCTCAAGTCTTTTACTTCTTCAGCTGTGTGACCTTGAGTTGGTCAATTACCCTCTCTGAACCTCCTCATGTCCCTCCTCCACTCTACGTTTGGGATATCCACAACAGGTAAACCTATAGAGACACAAGGTAAAGTAGCATTTGCCTTGGACTGTGGGGGAGGGGTGTTGGAAGAGTATGACTAAGGGGTGCAGGGTTTCTCTTTGGAGAGAGGAAAATGTTCTAAGACTGATTGTAACGAAAGTTAAACATCTCTGAATATACTAAAAGTCACTGAACTGTGTACTTTAGGTGGATGAAATAATTGTGTGCTATGTGAATTGTATCTCAGTAAAGCAGTCCAAACAAAATACCTACCTAAAGAATTCAAGGTAATGAGTAAACACAGAGCTTAACACAACACAGCTGTTGATAAGTAACAGCATCTCATTAAAATAACCATTATTATACACGGGCCTTCCCCAGCTGGGCCTCCACTCCCAGCAGCCAGGCCAAGGCCCACCAGCCTACCCCAGGAAGCTTGCCAGCCTCCCCCTCCACCCTCACAGCCAAAACTGACCAGAAAACCCCTAAGAGCGCTTGAGTTTGGTTTCCTTTCCTGACATTGTTCAGAGAAGTGCATGTCCCCTGGGACCAAGCTGAGTCCCAGCTGCTGGCTGGCGGGCCTCTGTGACAGGAAGTACCACCCAGCACTGGCGCCCAGAACTTGGGAGGGTTAGGCCCAGCCTAGCCGCTTCTGCGTGGGGAGTGGGCCCCTCTGTTTTAATTGGTATACAAAACAGCTGCATGTTTTTAATGCCCACAATTGGGTGAGTTTGGACGGTGTTACCATCACCACAATCAAGGTAATAAACACACCCATCACCTCCAAACATTTCCTGCTGTTGCCGTCTCGTCTGCGCTGTATATTGTGTGTACTTAACATGGTATGCACCCTCTTAAAATTTTAGGTGTACAATACAGTATTGCTAACATAGGCACAGCATGCACAGCGGATTGCTAGAGTGTATTCCTGTGTAACAGAAGGTTTATACCAACCACTGAACAGCCTCCCATTTCCTCCTCCCAGCCCCTGGCAACCACTGTTCTGCTCTCTGCTACAAGTCTGACTACTTTAGATACTTCATATGTGAGGAATCATGCAACATTTGTCCTTCTATGACTGGCTTATTTAACTTAGCATCAAGTCCTCCTGTACCCTAGCCTGGCTCAGTTGGTTGCAGTGTTGTCTTGTATACCAAAAGGCCACAGGTTCAATTCCCAGTCAGGGCACATACCTAGGTTGTAGGTTCGATCCCCAGTTGGGGTGCATATAGGAGGCAACCAATCAATGTTTCTCTTTTATATCAATGTTTCTTTCTCTCTCCCTTCCTCTCTCTCAAAATCAACAAATATGTCCTCAAGTGAGAATTTTTAAAAATTAAATAAATAATAAAATAAATAAAGTTCTCCTGGTTTACCCGTATTGTCACATATGGTAGGATTTCCTTCTTTTTAAAGGCTGAATACTATTCCATTGTATGTATATACAGCATTTATTCATTCATCCATCGATGCACATTTAGGTTGTTTTCACGCCTTGGCTATGGTGAATAATGCTGCAATGAACCTAGGAATGCGATCCTGCCTTCAATCCTTTTGGATGTATACCCACAAGTGGGAAGGCTGGATCATTTTTTTTTAATTTATTTATTGATATAGAGAGAAAGGAGAGAGCAAGAGAAAGAAACATTGATTTGTTGATCCACTTATTTACGCATTCATTTGTTGATTCTTGCATAGGCCCTGACCGGGCATGGAACCCACAACCCTGGTGTATTGCCACGACACTCCAACCAACCGTGCTACCTGGCCAGGGCCAGTATCTCTATTTTTAATTTTAAGGAACCTCTTCACTTATTTCCATAGTGGCCATACCAATTTACATTCCCACCAACAGTGCACAAGGGATCCCTTTCTCCACACCCTTACCGACACTTACCTTTTGTTTTTTTGATCATAGCCATCTGAACAGGTATGAGGTAATATCTCATTGTGGTTTTGGTTTGCATTTCCTTGATAATCGGTGACCTTTATCACCTTTTCATTCACCTGTTAGCCATTAGCATGCATGTCTTTT